GCTAAGCATGCACAACAAGCCATCTCTCCCATTCTCCTGCTTTTCTTCTTTCTAGTTTCCCAGGATTGAAACTGAACTAGCTAATGGGGCCAGATAGCTCAGCGAATTAAAGTACCTGCTTTAGGCAGCCACAGGGACCTGGGTTTGATCCCCAATGTGCCTTGTCACCCACACCCCCTGGGGCACCTGAGAGGGCAGTTGAGGCTGGGCATTGTGGCACATACCTGTAATCCCAGCACTTGGGAAGCTGAAAACAGGAGGATCACTAGAAGTCCATCCTGTGTAGTGAGACCCTGTAGACCCTGTACTAAATACATTTTTTAAAAAACTGACCTAAAAACAAAAAAGAAAAACTGAGCTTACCTATTTATGATTTGTCTTTTCAATAACATAGGCACTTTTCCTCCTGCTTGTTTCCCCTGTGTGTGCTATTTTAATTTTATTTATTTGGTATAGGGTCTCACTATGCAGCTCAGACTCATAGTGATCCTTCTGTCTCAGCCTCCCCAGCACTGGGATTATAGGCATGCACCACAATACCTGATCTTCATGGCCAGCTTGGCGTGGGGCTAGCATGGCATGTGGTACCGGGGATTGAACCCATGTCCTTGTGCTTGCTAGGGAGGCACTTAGACCGCTAAGCTATCTCCTCGGGCCTGTAAGTGCTACTTTAGATGGTGTTCCCTACCTGAGCCCTTAAGTCTTCTGTACCATAGGCATTCTCAGGAAACACATGGAGGTTGCAATCATGCTGTGGGTCCTTAGCTGCCCATGTTGAAGCATAGTAATAAACCAAGAGCCTTCTTCAAATAAAGTTGTATGTGCTCTGAAGCAAAGACTGTATACAGAAATAGGAAAATGAGAGAATTGAGGATGCTAGAGAGGAAGGATGGCGAGTCTCAGGGAAGGAACTGTGAGCCACAACTGGATGGGGGGCCAAGCTCTGCTGTTTTCCAAACTCTGCTTTTGTTATACACCTTTCAATGAGGATACCCGCTTCCAGCCTGGGCTGTAATTTCACTGTTTAAGGCTAAGCCCAGGGCTTTCTGTACAGCTGTGCATTCCACGTGCCTTGAGGGAGCACTGGCTTCTGTGTTAGCACAGTAGGTTTGATGAGCTCTGCCTGCCAGCTTGCCAGCAGATGGCAGCAAAGTTCGTGAGGGCCTAGTGATCTCTGCTGATTCACACAGGCAAAAATTTCTAATCTGCCTGGAAACTTTCTTAGAAGGTGCATGATGTTTTGTTTTTGAGGGTTTTGTTTGTTTATTTTGTGGGGGGGTGGGTTGTTTGTTTGTTGCTACCGGGGGTCCAACTCAGGACCTTGAGCTTGCCAAGCAGTTGCTTATGCCGCTGAGCTATCTTCCACAACCACTCTGGAAGCTGTTTATCCTCTTGGTCTTCTCTGATAATTCAAGAGAATCACCTAAGCTTATCCTCTAAGATTTTTCCTTCTTTGTCTTTTTTTGAAATATTTTAGAATTGCAAGTATTGCACAGAAGACTCCAAGTATCCATGGCTCGCACTAGTTCACCTAGTTAACCTTTGCCCGTACGCGCTTTGTTACGCCCTTCATCTGTACATACACATGTTTTTTTCTGAGCTCCCTGAAATCCTTTAGAATGTGTTTCCTTGGAACAAGAACTTTGTTGTATTACCTAACCATCATACACTTAACTTAGGAAAGCTAACATTAGTGCAAGCTGGCCGTAGAGAAGCACACACGTAACACTAGCTGCTCAGGAGGCTGAGGCAGGCAGAATGTCAACTTGAGGCTTGGTGACAGGATACCCTGGGTTCAGTCTCCACTACTGAAAAAAAAAAAAATCAGTGTGGTACTCCTAGCAGTTTGTTGGCATACAGGTTTGTCAGTTGTCTCACTGATGTCTCTGGCTATTTTTTATCCCCTTTCCGAGGGTCCATACTTTGCAGTTAGGCTTTATCCTGTCGTTTACTTCCCTTTATATTTTTATTTATTTATTTATTTTTATTCGTGTGTGTGTGTGTGTGTGTGTGTGTGTGGCCAGCTCAGCCTACCAGGGGGCGGGACTGGCTGGCATGTGGTGCTGGGGGATTGAACCGCGGTCCCTGTGCTTTGCTAAGCTTGTTCTAAGTAGGTGCTTTACCACTGAGCCATCTCACCAGCCCAAACTTTTTTTTTTTTTGACGGAACCGGGTATTGAACTTAGGCCCTTGTGCTTGCCAGGGAAGCGCTTATTCTATAAGCCCTACTTCCCTTTAATCTGAAAAGGTTCTTCAGCCTTTGTCTTTTTAATAAGGATTTTTTTTTTTTTTTTTTTTTTGGTGGTTTGGCTGGCTGGAGAGTTGTGGGGATCGAACTACAGCAACCTGAGGCTGACAGCTTTGTGGAAGCAGCCACTTAAAGAACTGAGCTAGAGCCAGGCCCCCCAGCCTTTGTCTTTTACTCCGTTATAGGTTTGAAGAATGTAAGGCAGTTATTTTGTAGACTATTCCTGCTGCTAGGTTTGTCTAATTTTTTCTCCATAGATTGAGGTTGAGTTTCAGCAGGGTAACATGGAAATGATGTTGTGTTGTTTTCAGTGTGTTGCATTTGGAATCACAAAGCATCAGTTTGTTCCACTACCGGTGACCCTGAGCCTCTAAGCCAGTGGTGGTGAACCTATGGTATGGATGTTGCTTATTTTTCTTGTAAGACAAAAGATGTGAGTGTACGAGTTCTTTTTTGTAAACTAAAACCCAGTATTCAGGTTTAATTGTAGTCTTGGCTCTGTGGGTTTGGGGTTACAGTTTGGGCACTCATCTCAAGGTTTGCCGTCCCTGCCCTCAGTATCCCATGTTGAAACTTCTTGTGGCCACTTGAGCTCTGTCTAGAGGGGTGTTCCCACTCGGGGCTCCCTCTGATGTAGCACATTCTGCTCAGCTCCCATTCACTCTTGCTTCATTCCATCTGTCTGCAGCACCTCCCACTTTTCTCCCTCCTTGAAGCACCACCACTACCTGGGACTGCACTTCCTGCCAGGAATCCTATTTCTTCTTCCTCCTACTAAGTCATACTCCCTAGCCAATCACTCTCTGAACTAGTGATTATTTATATCATATAGTCAGCAAATTTTTACTGTTTACTTGGTTTTGAGTTAAGTACCTTCAAGTTTTGGCAAGAGTAGGCTTCCAGAAGTGGTCTCAGAGGGGAGAGTATTAGAGCTGAGCATTGGGGGGGGGGGATGTTACTGGGTCGTGTGGAATCAGACTCAGGTTCACTCTCCCAAATCAAGGTCTTTCAGGGTGCAGTTTGAGTGTAGTTAAAACCTGAGTGTTCACTGCACATCAGTTGTGCTATGTTCTCTCAGAATTATCCTTGAAAACAACTTAAGGAAATAGTTGCCATCCTTACTTTACAACTGAAAATGTGGAGGCTTTAAAAGTTAAAGCAGGGGCTGGGGAGATGGCTCAGTAGAATAAGCACTTGCCTGGCAAGTGCAAGGGCCTGAGTTCAATCCCTGGTTCTGCAAAAAAAAAAGTTAAAGCAAGGGCCAGGAAGATAGCTCAGCAGCACAGTGTCTGCCTGGCAAGCACAGGGTCCTGAGTTAGATTCCCAGTGCCAAAAAAAAGCACAAAAAGTTAAAGCAATATGATTAGAAATTACCAAGACCCAGACTCTTGTCTCTCAGACTCCAAAAGCCTTGCTCTCCTTTTTTCTTTTAAATGTAATACAGTAGCTAACATGGGGGGGGTCCATGTATATATTGCATTTTGATCTTTTTTGATCCCTTTATCTTGATTCCCTTCTAAAGAAGACAGACACAAAAAGTTAAATATTACGTGGCTTCTCTTGTATGAGAAACCCAGAATGTAAATAAACTACAAAATGAAGGAGGGGTGGTTGAAAGCAAGAAGCCTTATTTTTTTTGTAAGCAGATTCTCTGGGATGAGTATTAACCTTCACAGATTGAAGTGCACATTAGTAGTATCTAGGTTGGAGGTAGTTTCTAGTTGCTGCTGTCCAGTTTCTGAATTGTCTTGGGCAATCCTCAACTGTAAGATCACGTTTCATAGAATGAGCTTCATTTACACTTATTTTTAGTCATAATTATTAGTTGTGCCCCCATCATTTTTAAAAGCATTATGGGTTGACCATGCGTGATGGTATGCACCTGCAGTCCCAACTAGTCAAGGTTGAGGCAGGAGGATTGCTGAAGCCCAAGAATACAGAGCTAGCCTGGGTAGCATAGTAAGATCTGGTCTCTTTTTAAAGTTTAAAAAAAAATGTAGTTTGAATAGTTGCATGGTCCCTCCTCAGAATTCTTCCTGTGTTCCCTTCAGGTTAATCCAGTGAGTATTGTTTCCTTGTATGAGAACTAACAGAGATTGGTCTCAAAGGAGAGAGTATCTCTATCACTACTTTCTTTGCCTTTACCCCAAGTCACACATTTCTGATTATCTTCAGCTTTGTAAAAGTGTGTGAGCCTAATTTACAGGAGTCAGTAGTCTTGTTTTGTTTTTTCACTGTGCTGCCAGGCTGGACTTGAACTCCTGGGCTGAAGTGACCACCTTATGGGCACATACTACTCTACCCAGCTTGTTTGTTTAACTTAGTAGTTAGCAAGATCTTGCCATGCTTGCTCTGTTATCCTTTCTGTGAAAACTTGGGCTGGTGAGATGGTTCAGTGGTCTAAAGCACCTACTTAGAACAAGCTTAGCAAAGCACAGGGGGCCGCAGTTCAATCCCCCAGCACCACATGCCAGCCAGCCCTGCCCCCTGGTGGGCTGAGCTGGCCACACACACACACACACACACACACACACACACACACACAAATAAATAAATAAATAAAATTTAAAAAAGAAAACTCACTGACATTTTACCCCAGTGGACTTCAGTAGCTGGAAAAAAAAAAACCTCGAGTGTCAGGTTATCTTGAAATGGGGTGCACACCTGTACATCTGTGCTAGTGAATGCTCTCCAAGGGTACAAGACAAAGTCCCACTAGCTTCTCCAACTTGTGTTCTCTTTGTTTTGGCAGTGCACGATCTGATTTTCTGGCGAGATGTGAAGAAGACTGGATTTGTCTTTGGCACCACATTGATCGTGCTGCTTTCCCTGGCAGCTTTCAGTGTCATCAGTGTGGTTTCTTACCTCATCCTGGCTCTTCTGTCTGTCACTATCAGCTTCAGAGTATACAAGTCTGTCATCCAAGCTGTGCAGAAGTCCGAAGAAGGCCATCCATTCAAGTGAGTTAAAGTATTACAAGTAACATTGCACATTTTAGTGGCGGGGTTTGGTAAGGCTGATCAGGTCAAAAAATCAAGTCATGGGGCCTAGGCCAGGTGTGCTATTGTATACCTGTAACCCTAGTACTGAGGATGCTGAGGCAGGAGGGTTACCTTGAGTTTGAGCCCAGCTTGACATGCATAGCAACAACTCCATCTCACAATACCCCCCTCTATTTTTTTTATTAAAAATACTTATGGGGCCTCATGCAACTAACTGGTAACATGAATCATCCCCTAGAGATGTTGTGATCTCCCTAAGAGGTGGCCCAGTTAGGAATCAAGACCTTGTTAATGAAATTAGATGATCACACTTCGACTTCAGAGGTGAATAGGGCAGAGATTGCAGTACTCAGTTGGCCACGTAGGTGTTTGAGCCCCCACGTGGTTAAGTCTTGAAATGGTTTGAAATCTTGAGATTGAGGCTGTGTTCTTGACACCAGAACTCTGAGTTTTTACTCTGTTTTACTACAGATTTCCTGGTCCCACAGGCAAGTTCTAATGAAGTCAGTAGGTCATGCATTTCCAGGATTTGATTTCTAATTTTTCTGATTGTGCTAAAGTTTAGCACATACTTACTTCACACTTTCCCTCTTGAAATTCTTAGTTCGTAAGTGTTTTATTTGAGCATTAGCGAATGACAGTTTTTCAAACTTTGATTCTCATAAGGTAAACTTTCTGTAATCTGTCAGGACTATAACAGAAAAGGCTCTGGCTGCACTGCTGCTGCTTGTACTTTCTTACAGTGAAATAGAAGGAACAACTGAAATTATTTACGGCATTAAAATTTTATTGAGAATTAGTTTTAATGAATCAGTAGTTGTTGAATGAAAGAGTGAAATAAATTGTACTGTTTTACCACCAACTCCAGTGTCTTTGTGAGCTTCCCTCCTTTTTGCATAACACTTGTGGAATCCTAAAATGTTTTTGTTAAGTTATATTAATTACAATACATAGTTTTAAAACTTTTGTATTTGTTATAAAATATTTTTTATTAAATCTTCCCCAAAAAATGCCTATTGTTTTCCCATAAAACTATGGACTCTGTAATACAAAAGCAGCCTTACCTTCCCCAACAGCCCAACACCTCATCTTACAGGGTGTCCAGTATCCAGTAAGCACTCAGTAAATACTGAGTAATTGAGCAAGTTATGAGCAGTAGTTACATCTCAACTCTGTTGAACCTATGGGAACAGAACCTAACTCTTCCTGTCTTGTGTAGTTTTTTGTTTTGTTTTGTTTTGTTGGGGGTTTTTTTTGGCGGAACCGGGGATTGAACTCAGGCCCTTGCACTTGCCAGGGAAGCGCTTATTCCACTGAGCCATCTCCCCAGCCCCATCTTGTGTAGTTTTGACTGCTATCAAATTCATTATCTTTGTCCTTTTTGTTTGACAAATGTTTTCAAATCCTTTATTACTCTGAAGTGAAATGTATAGATGATATAATTAATCTATGAACGCAATTTCAAAATGCATAGATCAATTATAATAAAGATGTGATAACACAGAAAATTCGTTTATAACAAAGTAATAGGTGTTTCAGTCAGTATTTAATTGCTTTTTTTTTTTTTTTTTTTGTGGTACCAGAGATTGAACTCAGGACCCTATGCTTGCCAGGCAGGCGCTTATTCTACTGAGTTATCTCCCCAGCCCTTTAATTGCTTTGAAAGGACTAGACCAGAAAAACACAAGGGATCTTTGGACCTAACTGTGTCATGAACAGTACAGATGTGAGTTTCCAAAATGGTAAATAAAACTCTAGTGAAGTTTTAGCATAAACAAAATGTGGTTTTACCCAGTGAGGTATGATGTAGGACAGTTCTTTATTGTGTATGACTGCCCCATACTTTGCAGACATCTGGCTTTTCTTTTTTCTTTTTTGACCCCAAGGACAGGGCTGGCGAGGCATGTGGTGCTGAGGCTAGAACTGAGGTCCCCTACACCTGCCTGAGCTTGCCTAAGCAAGTGCTTTAGACTGTTGAGCTATCTTGTCAGCCCAGACATCCAGCTTTTCTTTTTAAGATATTGGAGATCGAACCTGGGCCCTTCTGACCTGTATCTCCAATCCTTTAAATTTTTTTGAGGACAGGGTCTTGCTAAGTTGTTAAGTTACTCAGGCTGGGCTCAGACTTGAGTTTACAGGTATGCTAGGGCTTACAAGTATGTCCCACCATTCCAAGGTGGTATTTTTGCCTCTGCTCACTAAAATGACAGTATTGTTCCCACCTCATGACAGTAAAAAAATGCCCATGCAGATTTCTAAAATGTACTCTGAGAGTCATTTTCACATTGAAGAGCTGCTGTACTGACAGGTGACTTATCATTTCTGTCCCCGGAAGAGCCTACTTGGACTTGGACATCACTCTGTCCTCAGAAGCGTTCCATAATTACATGAATGCTGCCATGGTGCATGTCAACAGGGCTCTGAAGCTCATCATCCGTCTCTTTCTGGTGGAAGATCTGGTGGACTCCTTGAAGGTTAGTTGTATCTATAGCTTTTGCTGGTAAGACTTAGAAAAGCCAAGGATTAGTTCAGAGGAAAAAGAGTGCATAAGGACTTATCAGACAAAAATGGACATACATGTATCTTCATCAGTTTGTAAACATGGAGGTGGGGGCATCATTAGAGAAAGCTGCCATCTCCTGCTGGAGAGCAAACATCAGAACAGTGATAACAGAGTCCCTCCCCATCCACCAGGGACCTAAGACTTCTCACACCCTCACATATACAGTGCAGGTAGTAGAACCTTCCTTCTGGAATGATCTGTGTCACACCTCACTGCCGTATGCAGCCTGAGCAAGAGGAAAATAGTATCAGCCTAGATTTTGCACTGTGGTTATTCCTGCTTAACCCCTCTGATCTTGGCCTTTACAGTTGGCTGTGTTCATGTGGCTGATGACCTACGTCGGTGCCGTTTTTAATGGAATCACCCTCCTGATTCTTGGTAAGGTGACACGGAAAGTGTCTCTCTTCCACTTGAATTTGTGAGAATATAAAGAGGATGCCCAATATGGCTCCACTCATTCCTTGTGGCCCAGCTTTTAATATCCACAGAGACTGAACCAGGTATCAGAGGAACTTAGGTTTGTGGTCCCAGTTGTGTTAAATGGTGCTAATTATAAAAAAATTTTCAAAACAGATGGTAATAAAGGAAGGAAAGTTGCCTAGATTTAGCTTAAATACAAGGTTCTTTCTGGTAGAGCCCCATAATTTGAAAATTGTTATCTGTGGTGCACAAAAAGCAGCAAGTACTTGGAGAGGTTTGTTTGTGTGGTTGTTATTACAGTACTATAAATCAGCTTTCTTTTCTAACTGTCCCTATGTGGGAACTCTAGGCAGCCTTCTTTATTTTGAGATCTGTTTCCATGTATTTCCTGAGGAAGCACGTGTATGTTACTTTAAATCTTGAGACTTTATGACTGACTTGCCGTGTCCCATGATTCTTACAGGTGAGCTGCTTGTTTTCAGCGTCCCAATTGTCTATGAGAAGTACAAGGTAGGCATCTGTTCCAAATCAGGTTTGCGAGTTGATGCATGGCTAGTTTCAGTCTGTTCAAGAACTTACTAAAAATAAACCAATCCGAATAGGTTCCTCTAGCAAGAGAAACTATATACCTAGAAGATACAGGGGTAGGAAAGAGACTTTCTGTACTTGGGTTCCCTCTGAATTTTTATCCAGTTGTATTAGTACCCCCCCCAAAAAAAAAAGAAAGAAAAAGAATTTTTAAAATGCTAGTGAGGGCCAGGGAGATAGCTCAGTGGCATAAGTGCGTGCCTACCAAGTATAAGGTCCCAAGTTCTATCCCTGGTACCACAATAATATAAAATAAAATGCTTAGTGAGTAACAGCTGGGTGTCTGAAAAGAAACTTAAACTGTAGCCTGTTATAGGAATTATTATAAACATATTTGTACTGTGAAATGCTGTGTGCAGAGATTCTAGATGTTTTGAAGTCATTCTTTGGATTATGCCATTTATCAGTGGACATTTTGGCTTTGATAGTAAACAAATTAATATTAACTCGGGAGCCATAACACATCTGTGAGTAGAGAAAAGACACAATTTCTAGTATTCAGAAAATTTACACTCCAGTTTCTTTAAAGGAAATAATCTACCGAATTACCCTTGCCGCTGTGAAAGATGAGTGAGTTTCACTTCAACAAACTATTGCATAACTTGAAGTCTGAAACGAAAAGTTTTAAAAATATTTTGAAAACATAGGCATTATTTTTATTTTTGAGAATATTTTTCAGTGGCTATACTACTCAAGAAAAGATGGGGGCCGGGGAGATGGCTCAGTGGAATAAGCGCTTCCCTGGCAAGCGCAAGGGCCTGAGTTCAATCCCCAGTTCCGCAAAAAAAAAAGAAAAGAAAAGATGGATGGCATCATGAGATACTATATGAAATACTGTTGCCAAAGACAGTAGTTTTCATCACACACCAAAAAAAACGGGTTAATAAAAAATCCGTATTCCATGGGCTGGCTAGATGGCTCAATGGTCTAAAGCACCTACTTAGAACAAGCTCAGCAAAGCACAGGGACCGCGGTTCAATCCCCCAGCACCACATGCCAGCCAGCCCCACCCCCTGGTGGGCTGAGCTGGCCACACACACACACACACACATACGGGTTAATACATTTTCATTTTACTAAAAATTATTTTAACTGCTTATTTTAAAAAATCCTCTGTGCCTTAGATTTGAATTGCTAGTCTATGTGCCATCACGATTGAGTCGTCTTTCTTTTCTTTAAAGACCCAGATTGATCATTATGTTGGCATTGCCCGGGATCAGACCAAGTCAATTGTTGAAAAGTAAGTACAATTAGGAACCACATTTCACTGTGATAGATGCTAGTTTTTCTTGATTGAGAGTGGGGTGTGCTACAGGGTATTGAACCTAAGGCCCTGCCTTGAGATGTGTCCTCAGCCCATTTTTTATTTTATTTTGAGACAGGGTCTCAGTACTTGCCCAGGTTAGGCTTAAATTTAGTGCTGAGATTATAGGCATGTGCCACCATGCCCGAGTTCCTTAATTATTTTTAGGATCCTGTATGAAATACTGTTGCCAGAGCCGGCCAGATAGCTCAACAGACTAAAGTACCTGCTTAAGCAGGCACAGGGACCAGGGTTCAATCCCCAGCATGTGATATTGGCCCTGACCCTGGGGCGCACTGAAACGGCAATTGAGACTGGGTGTGATGGCATATGCCTGTAATCTCAGCACTTGGGAGGCTGAAAACAGGAGGACCACTGGGAGTCCAAACTGTAGTGAGACCCCACAGAGCCTGTACAAAATACATTAAAGAAAAAAGAAAAATACTGTTGCCAAAAGTGGTATTCATCACCAAAAAACTAGGTTAATATAACTATTTTACTAAAAATTATTTTAAGGGGCCGGGGAGATAGTTCAAATAAGCACTT